CAGAACTGCCTGTTGGTTCTAGAAGCCTGGCACAGGTGGCTTCCGGGGTCAGGCACAGCTCAGCCTCACTGATGCCAGGACTCTTCGGGAGGGAGGGAGCCCCAGGTCAGAGAATTTGCCTGCCTCTGTCTCAGTCATCACTTTCCCTCTGGGCTCCCAGCCCCACCTCTTTCCTCCGTCATGTCATCGGCCCTGGACCATCTAAAAAGATGGCTCTTGCTTACAGTTCTCAATGTTTCCACATCTGCGATTACATTGCCCCACCATGACCGTGAAGTAGGCGAGCACTCATTCTTCCATTCATTCTGCAGACATGGCGAGTGGTGAGTGTGACTGGTGCCGGCAGACCCTTTCTAACTGTGAGCACGTGGAGCCCGAGGCTTTGCGTCCTCAACGAGCTGGGTGAGGCAGGGCAGAAGTGACCCCCATGTGACGGGGAGGAGGCCAGGGAGGACAGCGCTGGTTGCCAACACCATGCGCAGCCGCTGCCCAGTGCCCTTCCGCACACGGCTGCATGCTGGTTCCCAGGAAACCGGGTCCCTGCTGCGGTCTCCACAGGCGCCTCTGCTGGGATGGGACCGTGAAAATAAAAGTTTTTTGTTTGGTTTTAGGAGTGAGAGCAGCTGAAATGGTAGAGTGGGGGATATTTCTAATGTCTGTCCATTCTTAGCTGGAGAGCCTGACTGCCCCAAAGATTGGGGTGGGGGTAGGGCGGGCCCTGTCCATTAGAGTCATGTTCTCTGCCCTGTGGATTTTCATGGATCCAGGTCCAGGACTGGGAGGCCCAACCTCAGAGTGAGTATGAGTCTCAGTCAGTGGTAGAGGCCAGCGGCCCGGAAGGGAGCTTGACTTCGGTTGCAGCCACTGGTGGTGAGAGGGTTAACTCTTGGCCACCAGCCCCTGGACCTGAGCCCTCAGCCCCCCTCAGTCTGAGTGCAGCTCTGGGTGGAAGGCTGCAGCAGGTGAGGCTGGGAGGAGTCTCGAGGTCCGGGCTGCTCTCCACTCACTGCCCAAGACCATTAATAATCAAGAACTGGAAAGATAATTAAAAGCCAAATGTGGAGCTGAGCCTGCTGCTGGCTGGCTCCGAGGAGGGGCCAATCCTGCTCCCAGGGCCAGGCTCTTGGCCGTCTCGTTCCTTCTCTAGGAATGTATTCTGGGGAGAAGTGAGCCCTGTGGGAAGTGGGGGCAGGAAGGATGCCTCCTGCAGGTTCAGAGCTGGCTTGGTCTGGCTTCCCTTCCCAGCCTCCTGCTCAGAGCTGTGCCGCCTCTGCCCCTCTGCGGGAGACCAAGGAAGGGTCCTGCACTATCAAGGGGGAGGGCAGAAAGCCTGACAGGGGAGAGGAGGGAGCCGACCATGTTGCAGAGGCCATAGATGTTCAGTCATCATAAACAAGGGCCTGACGGTGCAGCAAAGAGCACGCTGCATCCACCCAGACACACACCCAGGTGGGCGGGACACAGGGCGAGAGAGGCCCTTGGTCACCAGTCTCAGCAGTAGGAAATTCTTCCTTTCACAGCCCCGTTCCCTCCTGCTGCTGCCGTTGTGTGTTTCGTCTGTCTTCACTGAGCGGCTCATGGTCCATACCACCTTTTTCCTGGTAGCCAGGTGTGTGTGGGGAGGGGGCGCTCAGCTTAGAAATGGGTGGGCATGATGTCCTCAGTGGTCAGCACACATGGGCTTCAACCCCCGCTCCAGAACTCTCCAGCCTGGCCTCAGGCTGGCTCTTTGAAAGGGGACGGCTGTCCTTAAGCTTCCTGGGGGGTTGGAGAACCAGAGACCACCCCCTCCCCAAAGCCCTCTAGACCCTGAAGAATTCAGGTCAATTTCCCCTTTCCAAATTGTAGCAGGCAGTTCCTACAAGACGACACGGGACTTATTAGGAGACTATGAAACCGATCAGGTGCCTGGGGACCCAATCTAGGGGTCTTCAGTGAGTCTAGGGGTCCGTGGCTACAAGCACAGTTTGGCTGGCGAGTGACGAGGGCGCTGGGCATCAGCACACAACAGCTTTATTGAGCACTGTCATGCCAGGCACTGAGTTCTTTAGTTCCCACAACTGGTCAGTGATACAGGAACTATTAACCCCAAGTTACAAACGACAGAGGAGAGAGCATGGAGGCTTGCTGCTGCCAGGGGCAGCTCCCACTTCTCGGTCCATACTCTTAATCTCCAGGCTAAGCCAAGGTCCACTCGGAGAGGACCCGGCACTGTGCCTGGCTCACACCAGGCGCTCAGTAGATGTTACTTCTCCATTGACACCATGAGCCCCAGGCCCAGGAGAAAAGGGACTGCAAAGCTCCCTCCTGCAGCCCTGGATCTTGGTTTCAGAAGAGCCAGCTTTGCAGTGGCCATTAGAATGTCCTGGCCCGGTGTCAGCCCTTCTCGGGAATCTGGCCCGTAGACAGGCGTGGTCTCAGCCTTTCACTTGCCCATGGTCATGCAGCCCTAGTGACCCTAGGCAGTGCCAGGCTCTTCCCCTCAGGCCGGTTTCCGTGAGGTGGGGGCAGCCCCTGTCCTCCCCACTTCTCTGACTTTAGTCTTTGCCTGTTGCTGAGGCTGCTCCTGGACCCCATGTGGCGAGAACAACTGTGTGGCTAAGGCCCTGGCGAGGTGCCCACTGCCCACCTTCCACCACTCAGCAGTGCCTCCCAGCCTGTCACCTGCCATCTGCCCCATCCATAAGCCCGCAGCCGCCTCTCTGGCCTCAGGTCAGGGAACAGGCAGGAGCTGCTGGCACGACGGCACGAGGCTCTGGTGCTCCGGCAGGGAATGAGGCGGAGAACGCTGACTCTCACCTTGACCTGGCCTGCCCTCAGGGCTGCTCTGGGGCAGTGTGGGCAGAGGACGTGGAGTGGAGGCTGCTGAGTTTATGTCTTCCTCCACAGTGACACCTGACCTGGGCCAGGCCAGGCTGGCATCTTCTGCCCTCCCCACCACCGACCCTGGGGGTCCATCCATCTATAGAATGGAAACCATTACCCGACTGCCCACCTCACCGAGCTGACGTAAAAGCTCAGCCAAATGTGCTTGATGCACGCAGCGAGCAAGTGCCACCTGGGGAATGCTAGCGGTCGGGGTCCTCTCCCCCTTGCCCAAGCCCCGGCTATCAGCAGTAGAGAGGAAGGCGACGCCATCTGACCTCTAGCAGGATGGACAGCAGGTGAACACCGGGGAGCAAAGGAACCCAGGCAGTGGCAGTGGCGAGGACCCTGGCTTGCCATCAGTGACCTGGTCACCTTGGGCCAATTCCCTCCAGGACTGGGGCTGCTCAGCTCAGAGGAGGGGAACGCAGCCGCCAACTCCACTGCTGTATGGCTCCAGATTGTCACATAAATCAACTTGGGCTTTATGATGCTAATAAATTCACGTCCAATATTTGGTTTGAAGCCTGGGGCGGCAGGATGACTTAATTTGCTTTGTCCTTAAGCAAGAGGGAACGTAATTGGAGAAGGCTAAGTACAGATGTTTTAATTGAGTTTTCAGCAAACAGCCGGACACTCCAGGGAGGGCCCGAGCCACAGGGGACCGGGCCACCGTGGAACCCTCCCTGCTCTGCCTACCCCGGGGCAGGGCCTCCTGGAAAGGAGCCACAATGGCAGATGGGGAAGGGGCATCTATTTTTCACGTGGATGGAAAATAACAGTACGGGGAGACAGGTTGTGAGGACTAAAGACGTGCGACAACAGTGAGCAAGCAGATCACGGCCAATTATGACATGGAATTCTCACAGGCTGGGGCTGCCAGGGGCCAGAGGTGGGGGTGGCGCTGCCTGCGGACTCCCCCATGTTCTTCTCCCCCCTCCCCTGAGACTACGGCCCCTGAAGACCCAGCATCATCGCTCTGTCCGTGGTACGAAGATGGTGAGATGCAGGGGGAGGCTTCGGAGGTTCCCTAAAGAGGGCTGAGCAAGGCACTGAAATCAAGAGGGGGGGCATGGGCCTGAGACCCCACCCCAGAGACGCCCAGGGCTGGGGGCACACCAGGGAGGATCAGGAAGGACCCCCAGGTCCTGAAGCAGAAGGCACGTTGAAAATACAGAGTTCATTAGAGTCACTTGTGTTTCCGAGGCAGGTTGGCCCAGCAGGTGCATGCATGATTGTGAGAGGGAGGGTACCACGGAGGAGCGGTGAGGTGGCTGGGAACCTGGCTTTTCTTCCATGGGAATGGTGGCCGGTGTCCCACCTCACCCCATGGCACCCAGGAGACATGGAGTGTGTGCACAGCGAGCACCCACAGCCCGGCTTGAAAGGGAGCCACCTTTAGTGTTGGAGTGGGAGCAGGCCTGACCTCTTACTGGGTGGGAACCATGGAACCCACTCGCCAGTACATGCCCAGGGCACTCTTGAGCCACCTTGGTGGCGGGTGGGGGTAGCTCCCGTCTAGTGGCCCTTGTATGCCGCCCTCCGCACTGACAGAGGCCTGAGGACCCCAGTGGGGCAGTCAGGAGAGCAGAGGATCCCTTTCAGGGGTCACAAGCACTGGGCTTTAAATCTAGCACATGCGGGCTGCCATGCCCTCACAGAAGGGCGGCTTCCGCCTGCTGCTCCCGAGTTACCACGGGCTCAGGAGCCCAGGACAGGAGCTGGCGCCCACAGCAAGGGCCCGCAGAGCTCTGGTCCAAGGACCCTGGTGCTGAGTAGCACTTCCTATTCTTGTCATTGGGGCTGGCCAGGCCCTCCCGTAGGAGTGGCCTTGGTGACTCCAGGCCTGACAGGGAAGTGGGCTTTGCTTGCCACTGGCAGGCCCAGCAGGGAGGGTCAGGGCTTGGGATTCGCCCCGAGGGAGCAGCTACTAGTGGAGCAGATGAGGATGTGGGAGGGGGCTGGGAAGGAGGGCGAGGGGGACATGGTGATTGGTATAAATAATGGCAGTGCCAGCACTGCAGTCTCCACTGTGTGAGGGAGGAGCCCGCTCCTGCTGGTGGGGGTGGTGGGGTGTGTGTGTAAAGCAGTAACCAGTCCTGGAATCTGGGAGCAGCCATGTGCCTGGGTTGTGCGGCTCAACTGGCTGGGGGCAGCCTTACGAAGGAGGACCTGGGAGGAGGGCCACCCTGGACGAATATGTGGAATCATCCACTGTGCGGAATCCTGGGTGGGGAGAAGATCCCTACCTGGAGATATGGAAAATCCCCTCCAAGAGCCCCAGCTGCACCTGTCCCATGGAGACCTGGGAGGCAACTAGATCTTGGCTCTGCAGGTGGGGAGGTGGGGGTGGGGCCCCCATCCGTCTTGTCACTAGACACATTCTGCCATCAGACCTTGGACTCGCTGAGAACGATGTTGGCGGTGACAAAGAAGAAGCAGGAGAAAGCCCAGAGCAGCACAAAGCCCACCCAGAAGGTGTGGCGGAAAGGGGACCTGTGCTTGTTGACAGTCCCGTAGCCAAAGGCCAGCTGGGTGTCCTTGCGGCAGTGGTATACCAGGAAGGCGGGAATGACGTACTGGATGCCTGTGCCAGCGTAGGCCCCCGTGATGCCCACCAGGGACTCCAGGTCGTGGGTGCAGAAGGCCACCAGCACAGGCGGCACCAGGGTGATGGTGGGGAACACCACGCGGTCCACCACCCAGGGGTATGTGCCCCCCTCGCGGTGGAACAGTGTCTTCCAGTTGTTGCGGAGGGTCACGGCAATGATGGGGAAGTTGGTGCTGATGGTGAAGACGGGGAAGAGGCCCAGGAAGAAGCGCACGGCAGCCAGGCCCACGATGTCGCAGCGCGCGAAGTTGAGGGTGTACATGTCCATGAGGCTGTCGCCGCGGAAGCAGAAGATGGCGGTGAAGGACAAGAGACCGTAGAAGGCCAGGATCAGCACGTAGTCCAGGAAGACCAGGCGTGTGAGGTGGTGCTTGGAGGAGACGGGTGTGACAAGGGAAGGCAGGGAGTGCTGGCACATGAAGGAGTAGACGCACACCCCGAACAGGTTCCGGACCCCAGAGAAGTCAGCCATCGGTGGATGCCCCTCCCCATGCCCGTACCCGATGCGGACCAGGGCCAGCACGATCATGATGGCGAAAGCTGGAAAACAAGAGGGGAGTCAGCCACTGGAGGAGGAGACAGCCCCACCTGGGACAGTGTCTGGTCTGGCGGCGCCTGCTGAGGGACCGGAGCCCCATGAAAAAGAATCATTAAATTCATGTAACCCTGATGGCCACATTCCAAGGCAGGTCAGCAGTGGCTGCTGCGATTATGGATGTCACATGCATCCTCTCTCTGTCCTGTTCACAACCCCCACAGCACATAGGGGATGTATCTCTTTGCGGGGCGCTGGGCATGATAAGAGGGCTGTGCTGGGGCGATCAGCAGGGTGGCACTGCACCGTCTTCTCGGGGGAGCTCAGACTCCTGGCCAGGCACCGCCCAGCTCCCTTATCAGCCCCCAGGGGCTCTCTTGGGGGCTCTGCCAGCTTCCTGGCAGGGCGCACACCCAGGTCAGGACTCATGTTTGTGTTCCCTTCCTTGGTTTAAAGTATGTGTGTCTGGGGAGCTGGGGGGAGTGGAGGGGTAGGGGGCACAGAGCACCTGGGAAGAGGTGTCCTCCTGGGCCAAGGGCATCTGCTAGAGACACCTGGGGGGAAACAGGAAAGAGTGCTGGCAGCCCTTAGCAGAGGCAGGCGCCCAGGGGCCTACACCAGGCAGGAAGGTACCTGTGGTTACCTGAAGGAAGAAACAGCACCAAAGCCCAGTGCTGGGGAGAGCTGAGTCCTCTGAGCTACTGGCACCAGGCCTGGAGGCAAATGGCACATGGCTCTGTCTCCTCAGCCTGGTGGCAGAGGCAGGGCACAGGGAGCGGCTCTGACCCAGGTTTGTTGCAGAAGTGGAAGGGGACCTGACTATCCATTCAGAGCAGACAGGCTGGCTTCACCTGGCAGCCCTTACAACGGCCCTCCTGCAGGTCTTCCACCTGGAGCCGGGCTCACCAGCCAGTGTCCCAGGATGTAAGCTCCCTGAAGACATGTAGTTCTAGATCCAGCTGACTCTCTCCGTGCCTCTGTGGCTTCTGGCATCCACATCACCCAGAACTGCCACCATTAGCCACTCAACACACACAGTGACCACTGGTGTCCCTGTCTCCAGTTTTGGAGTTCACAAACCCTTGCTGTCTCTGTTCAGACCCGACCTGACAGCCCCTTTAGCCTGTGCCCCGATCCCCCAGGTAAAGCCCACGATGACACCTGCCGTTCCTGGTGAGTAACACTGGTGGTGTGAAGGAGCAGTGGGCTGGAAGGGCCAGCTGCCAGCCGTGCAGCTCCTGCTTGCTCACCCTTCAGAAGCTCAGGGCTCCTCCCCAGGTGGGAGGCCGGGGTCTCCCTACCGTCCCTTTCAGGCCACATCACACTCCCTGGCTCCCTGGAAGGAAGAGGCCTTTCTCCTGGGACTTACAGGAAGCCAGACCAATGTCTTCCCACAGTGACACTTGGTAGTGGGATCGACGGAAACGTCATCTATTACTTTTTTTTTTTTTTTAAAGATTTTATTTATTTTCCCCCCAAAGCCCCAGTAGATAGTTGTATGTCATACCTGCACATCCTTCCAGCTGCTGCATGTGGGACGCGGCCCCAGCATGGCCCGAGAAGCGGTGCGCGCCCGGGATCCGAACCCGGGCCGCCAGCAGCGGAGCGCGCGCACTTAACCGCTAAGCCACGGGGCCGGCCCTCATCTATTACTTTTAATCAGAGCTGCCTGACACTGTCGGGTGGGGCGGGGGGTGGGGGACAGGAGAGGCGGCGGGGAGCGAGAGAACAGCCTGTAAAAATTGCCAATAAGGAAGATGATTTGTTTCTGGCTCTCTCAGCCTGCTGTTGTCCCTGCCGTTCCTGACTCTGAGGGCCCCACGCTCTTGCCGCTCCAGGGACATCACAAATCTTGCCAGCTCTGGTCAGTCAAGAGGAAAGTGGCGACCCAGCTCCTCCCCTGAGGTCTGAGCCCAGGAGCCGCCTCTGGCTAGACGCTCTAGGGGGTGGGGGAGGTTGTGACAGGACACCCTGTGGGGCCTCCCTGCTCCCTCGGGATGCTCAGGACCCCGGCAGTCTGGCTTATCAGGAGGGGTGTGCAGGGCAGAGATCCGTGTGGAAGAACTGCTTCACAGGAAGTATGCCGGGGCAGGATGCGAGGGAGAGGGCACTCATGGGAAAGGCTGGACGGGGTGGAGGGGGAGTCCCCCATGTGCCAGGAAGTCTGTCCTGGGCCAGAAAGGGTTATGAAGCAGAGCTAGCTACAGCCAGCAGACGGGGGACCCTGGGGCTGCCTGGTGATTAGCTATTCAAGAGGCTGCAGCTGACAGTTCCGCCACCATTGGTAGGGCACTGGGGTCAGGGCAAAGGGGGCAGCGCTGTAAGGCAAGATTCAAATCCTGCCATGCCACTACCATCTCGGGTTGACACCTCGTGACCTGGCGCTACTCCTGGCCCGGGCCAAGGCCAGCACAGACTCGGAAAGAGGCAAGAGGAAAAGTTCTCTAGCTGTCTGTTGCTCGGCCTCAGCTTCGGGTCCCTGGGTCTGGTGAGCACGCAAGAAGGCAGGAAGAAGGCTGTCTGGACGTTGAGTCCCTCTCTGCAGTGTGGATGCTGCTAGTGCTTCTCTGCTCGTCTTCCTCCTCAGCCCTAAATCTCCGAGAGGCTGTACGAAACCCAGGCAGAAACTGGCTTGCTGCCTTCAAGGCCAGCTGTCTGGACAGCCCTGACTGGGGGCTTTGCTTATTGTAAATAAGCTAATTTATGAAGCAGGTTTCCAAAGACATGAGACTGATATTTTAAAGCACGCATGCGCACCCCCACCCCCAAGACTGTATACCTACTAATGGGGTCCTCCAGAGTCACTGTCTTGGGAGCTGCATCTTTACGTCAGCAATGACGTGGGACATTTTCTAGAACTTCTAGGATGGCCTACAATGCCACGGCTATGGGTGATAAAACTTCTCTCACAATCTTCTAGCTATAATGAGTTTTACTTCATAATGCTATTACCTAGACTAGTCATCCATCTTGTTCCTTAATCAAACAGGTCTATTTCCAAAAACAAGTCTATTTCCAAAAGCCAGATCTACCCTCAAGGGCTGGATGTTTGCTCCTGTCCAGGAATTAAGGTGCCAGAGGCTCTTGGGAGGGGATTCCAGGAGTGTTAACAAGTGGCTGCTCCGTGGGGCTGCAAGTCCCCAGTAACCCCAGCTAACCTCACGAAGAGGCAAGGGGAGTGTACGCCTCCAGGGGCCCTTCAGTTCCCCCAGCCACCGAGCACACGGGTGGGTGCTGGGCTATGTTTTCTGGAGTGGAGGGAAGGGAAAATGTTCCGGCTTGGTCTCCAAGTTGGCCAGTTCAAAAGAGACCAGTGATGCCGAAACACTCTGCTGCAATGGAGGGACGGAGAGGGAAGGGAAGAGGAGGGAAGGGAAGAGGAGGGAAGGGAAGAGGAGGGAAGGGAAGAGGAGGGAAGGGAAGAGGAGGGAAGGGAAGAGGAGGGAAGGGAAGGAAGCAGGAGGGCCAGGTGTGGCAGCTCTGACCTTGAGGGGCCCTGGGACTCGGGGCCCGAGGACTAACTCCCACTGCCGCCTGGCTGCTGTGACCACACTTCTTTGCTCTGGGCGCTTCCCCCAACCCCCTCCCCAACTGCTAGAGGAGCAGAGTTCAATAGCCATCTCCTAGATTGATCGCCCCGTCCCCTGGAGATAGCTGCTCCAAAAACTCATTAGGTCTGATAATAAATCAAGATGAAATGAGGACGACAGGCTGTGAGCGACAGACACTGCCAGGAAGCACAAGGGAGAGCAGGACTCTGCACACATTTACACCCAGGGCTCGCCGGCGCCACTACTGACAGCTCGCGCCCACCTGTTCCAGGCTGCGTGGGAGGCGGAGACGGACACAGAGGTGGACAGGACTGTGAGCGCTCCCCGACATCTTGGTGACGGGGGCTTGCAGTCTCCTGAGGGGAGGGCAGGCTTGGCTTCTCTCTGACCCTCACAGGCCATGCTCAGAGAGCCCACGTGATGGATGAGGGTCGAGGTCCACATCCACCTGCATTCTGCATCGGAAGTCACGCTCCAAAGGGTGAGGATGCAGCGAGTCGCCAGGGAGGGTTCTGTGGGGGGTGGAGGAGGTGAGGGCCTGACATGTGTCATGTGAGGAGTGGCTGTGGGGCCTCGGAAGGCGCAGCTGCAATTGCCGAGGCGGGACAGGAAGCTTTTCTTTAAATATCTGAAGTAATAGCTCATGTAAAAACAGCTGTACTTGTTTTGTGTAACTCATGAACTCAACCAGGATCATTCATTCACTGAACAAAGATATACTGAGTGTCCACTGTGTGCCAGCACTACTCTGGGCATCTGGGGACAGCGCACTGAGTAAAGAGACACAGTCCCTGTCCTTCCGGAGCCCACAGTCCGGGGGACCAACAGGTGGAAGTTACAGAAGACAAATTACAACAACAAGAGTAACTGGTTAATAGCCACATTAGCTGTGGGGGGCAGGTGGTAAGATCCTCGTCACAGGAAGGGGCCAAGCCCAAGGGTAGAAGACCACCTGTGGGTCAAGAGAGGAATCAGGCATCAGAACCCGATTTGGAAGAGCCTGTCGGGCTCCCACTCTGCAAGCCTGTGGCTGCCACAATTCCTCAGGGTGCAGGAGAGGAGGAGCTTGAGGCAGGGCCTGGGGAAACCGACAGCCAGAGCATGACTCAGTCTCCAGGCTCCGGGCCCCGTGACTCACCTGAAGAGGTGTGCTACTTGTGCCTCACATAGACTTGTTCTGACAGCTGCTCTGAGTTCTCTCTGCTGGCCTCACCACATCGATTCACCTTGAGTGCAGCTGCTCCCCTCTCCCACACATCTGACTCCTCCAGAGGGAGCGAGAAAGACAGGAGCGGTAGGCAAGCCCTTATCTTGGTACAGATCCTGAGCCATGAGCGCACAGCTGAGAGAAGACATCTCCCTTCCCTTTCTGAGGAGGTCAGGTTAAAAGTGAAGTTTACCCCAGGAACGCCCTGGCCATCTGAGGGCGTGGCCCTTGGGACCTGGATGGCTCA